GATGCAGAAGCAGCAGTTGTCTGGCGCTGTTAAGAGGCTGTTGAATTTATCTCGAAAGTTCTTATTACTCTTATTCCGTACCACTAGCGAGCTATTCATGCTGTTATTTCAGTTATCTTGCACATTTGCAACCCTGATATATGTACCTACGTGTGTTGTAACGTCAGATATTTCGTGTTTTTTTTGAGAAATTGCATGCTTAATGTCATGAAAGCTGTTATTGCTGTTAAATCTGTGATCTCGTGCTTCTGTAACGCTGTTATTTCAGCTATTTCGACAGTTCTTAATACTCGAGCATCAGTAGCATCCAAATTATCATTGCTATTGTATCAGTTATCAAGTGCATCCGTTATTCTGTTATACCAGTCAACTCAAGCCATCGTAATGTTATTATTTCAGTTAGCTTGTGATCTATTAACGCTGTTATGTAAGTTAGTTGAAGTCTTTTTCTCTCCGTTACGCCAGTTCTGTCGAATGATAAAAAGATTGTTCTATTTCGTTATAAAATTTTTGTTTCATTGTTTTGTATGCATTTATTTTTGTATAAATCTTTTAGCGATCATAGTTCTTCTTCTTCTTCGTTTTCTATAGCGTGCCTATAGTTTATCGTATCCGTATCCAAAGCCTATTTCAAAATTTTTTTACCCATCATCTCGTACGCTACTGAAATTTTAAATCAGTGAGCTCGTAACACTGTTATATCAGTCAGCTTGAATGCTCGTAATGCTGTTATATCAGTCAACTTGAGTGCTAAACTTGAGTGCTCGTAATGCTGTTATATCAGTCAACTTGAGAGCTCGTAATGCTTTTATATCAGTCAACTTGAGTGTATATAGCAATGCTGTTTTATCAGTCAACTTGAGTGCTCGCAATGCTGTTATATCAGTCAACTTGAGTGCTCGTAATGCTGTTATATCAGTCAACTTAATTGAGTGCTTTTAATGCTGTTATATCAGTCAACTTGAGTGTATATAGTAATGCTGTTCTATCAGTCAACTTGAATATTCGTAATGCTGCTATATCATTCAACTTGAGTGCTCTTTCGAATTCAGTAATGTTGGTGAATTTATTTGCAATATATGTATTTAGTATAAGTAAAGACCCAATAAAATACAAACTTAAAATATGTATAATGCGTATTTTTGAACTACTCTGTTTCAACTGGTCCGTATTGCTGTTGTTCCGAATTCAGACGTTTTAACATGAAATTTTGGCTAAAAATTCAAAGATAGCGAGAGGATTTACACCGCCTGTCGTGCTAGTTTTAATAGTAATATTGATGTCCTGTTATGTTAGTATTACTTCATTACATGAATAGCGTTGTTACTAGTCTCCTTCAAGGTGAGTTTGCGAGTCGTGCTTACCTCTCATCGTTTACATAAACGCGACAGACCGTAATTATCATATAAATATTATTGGCGGTCCTTCACCAGCAACCTGACAACTGACCGTTGTTTAACCAGCGTAGTGGCCGAGCGGAGTCACTTAGTATCCTTATATATGCTTCGGACGCAGCAGCCCCAGGCCACGCTGGACGTAGCAGCCCCAGGCCATGCTGGACGTAGCAGCCCCAGGCCACGCTGGACGTAGCTGCCCCAGGCCACGCTGGACGTAGCAGCCCCAGGCCATGCTGGACGTAGCAGCCCCAGGCCACGCTGGACGTAGCAGCCCCAGGCCACGCTGGACGTAGCAGCCCCAGGCCACGCTGGACGTAGCAGCCCCAGGCCACGCTGGATCGCCGCTCGAGGGAATAAGTTTACGAGGGCTGGGGTAGAGAGCAGTAGAACTCTTGCACCGTGCAGCTGCTTGTAGGCCTATTAAATACTCTCAATGTTTATATTATTATGATTATATTATAGGCCGGACACGGTCTTCGTGTCCCGTGTGTCACTACTCTTAATGATAATATATCAGATGTCGCGCGTTCTCGATGATGTTGTCAGTCGTCGCCTGATTTTGATGCTCTTTTTTTATATCTTGAGAGAACTTTATGATGTTCCTTCACTTATTTTGAAGGTTTATAATTTTTTAATAAAGACCTCCTTGTATATTCGTAATGCTATCAATCCTCATCAGGTACATGAGCTAGTTTCTCGAAACTAGAAACTCATTCATTTTTGAGCCCACGACGATATCAGGGAAAAAGCCTATTACAAATATCTGGCTCTGAAATTTATCTGTGTTCCTAAAATCCTAATATTCCTAAAATTTATCAGTGGCTTTTAGCGGCTGCGCCTAGCAATTGGGGTGACATTGGTCAAGTTATTTCTAGAATTTAATGTTATTAAAAATATTTAACAAAGTTAACAGAACTTATAATATAATTGAATTCAGTTAAAAGCTAAAAAGGGCAAAAAAATCCATCAAAATTTCTATGTAAAAATTTTCTGGTTCGCCGAAAAATCTACGGGAAATACTCCGAAGATTTAATTACCGCTTATCTCAGCTAACCATCGTTTTCAAGCGAGGTGATATTATTGTTTTCGATGCAGATATATAATGTTACTCTAAAATATTTATCCAGTTTTAGAGAACTGTTGTGAATGGATTTATGCCTTATAACAGAATAGATTTTATCCATTATACCGATTTCAGTTTAATTTAATAACGAGTGTGTGATTATTTCTGATTAATCACTTCCAAAAACAAGTTCTATTCTATATTGAAGAGACACATCTTTTTCATTTACATTTTGAGATAACGTAAATTGTTAAGTTAAGTATATTATACTTTAAGTAGTCATAACATAAGTAAACAAAATAGAAGTGTTTTGTCCACAACGTTACTTTAACGCAAACGAAATCGAACGATACCTTACCAAAATAATCATGTTTTTGCAATTCTGCTCACATGTCCTGAATTTATAAATATATTGCATTGCTACAGCCAGCGTGAAATATTTGAACATTATATTATCGGGAACTGTCACCAAAAATGCACGTAGCGAACTGATCCAGTTATTCAGGGCGAAAAATGCGATTAAAGTATAAGATTGATTCTAACAATGAAAAATATTGAACATTTACGATTTAAATTATTCATCTTTACTATGATGTTCGATATTTATCAAGCAACGGCGCGATCTGGCAATAGACCGAAACTTTATTTAATTTTTTGAAATGTTTTTTCCCGGTAAATATCTTGTAGATTCATTGATATTCAAGTGCTGAATGGTTTTTATTTTTATTTATTCAGTTGCATGGTCTTCCCATTTTAGATTCAAGGAGACTTTCATTATTAAATATTCATTAGAAGGTGTGCAAGAACTAATAAGCTGAGATAATTTGTGGAATAAATTAATCACATGTAATGGAAATTTATATATATTGTACCGAAATATGTTACAGTGAACAACGCAAGTTCACAGCCTTGAGAGAACAGCTTCACACCGTCGCAGTTTCGTGGCGATTAGTGAGAGAGAAAATAATGATTAATTTGTATTACCAATAAGTGATCTTATTATCCGTGTTCATTTACTTTATTGACAATAAAAATAAGCCGTCATATTTGAGGGACACGACCAATATTACAAAAATAAATGAAACATTATTATTAAGCATCATATTCTATAATCATAGGAACAAATGAATCACATTCCCTCATATTCCATGCATAATAAAAGTGGTGGTATTCTTCCCAGCGCAATCAAGATTTGATCGCACGCCTGCAAGTCTACATCGATCAGCGCTCATTGCCATGACAGCGAACGAAATACTGGGGGCAGGTGTTCAGTCGTCAGCAACTGGCCGTGTGTTGAGATATTTGTTGATTGTTTCTGTTGAAACATCAGGATATTTACGGCCTAATTGCTATTCATCCACATATTTGTTCCAGTTTGTAACTCATCTACACGTAGTAAATATTATTTACGAGTATAACCGTAAGAAGGTACCTAGCTTGGTGAACGCAAGTGCCTACTGAACAGCGTGTGATTGAGAAAAATTTTTAATTCCGGTGTTATTAGTTAAGAAATCCACCCGGTGCTGTCTTTATCTAGTCACATTAGCTTGTAACCATTAAATAAAAAATGTAACTCAGTACTCACTGCAGTGAGTGACAGAGAGCGCATTTTCTCGTCGACGAAAACGTGAAGTTACAGACGGAAAGACAGACAGACGGGCAGACAGACATACGGACATGGCGAGCACAATAGCGCCTTTTTCCATAAATTAGAAATGCGCTAAAAAGTTATTATGATTTCCAGCAGCTGTACTAGCACTTTTCCAAAATATGAGCTTCAAAACGATAATGACGAAATTTGTTCTCTTTTATTCTTATTTTTGGGTCTATTTACAAATCCGTCACATCAGTCTATTATTAATTTGAACATGTTTAAATTTTTCATCGCGGCTAAGAAGAATCCGAATTTTATTCACTAAATAATAAATTCAGGTCTCATCCTAGAATTACTTGACGAGAAATATGATTTAATGACTGATTGATTTACTAATCAATCATTAATATTAAGTACTTGTGCATATTCTAGAGGAGTCAATAATGTTTCAATAATTGAAGAAAAAAATTTAGTCTGTAATTTTTTAAGCGATTACGAAAGAAAATAAAATAATTATTTTTTATTGCATTTCTAGACTTTGCACGCCCTGTTTATGTGGTCATGTCACTTAATACGTTATATCTAAGGGCCTGAATGCTCGAAAGACAGTTAACACGATTTTGATGAACAATTCCGAACTATTTATACTAATGTTCTTGATAATTTTATGCCAGTTATATTGAGTCATATATAAACAGTTCTAATTCTCCTTTGCTGTTCATAAATTGTTTAATACGAGTTCTTTCGTATTATGCTTTTATGTCAGTATCCAGCGTGGCTTATGTGCCGTTGCATTTGGAATTATTATAAAGCAATCTATAACATTGAAATTATCGTTTCTTCTTATTCAATACGTCGTGAAAATTTTGCATGTTTGGGATTTAAAATACGGCCAAAAATTTCACATTTGTTTTTTTCCAACCTGCTAATTTTATTGTAGAAACGACTCCTTATATATCTGCAGTATAATAGGTACTACTGACCAAGATGGATAAACTCCCAAGTTCAGTGGACATCGTTCCCAATATCTGCATGGACTTCCTGATGAATTTGTGCGAGAGAAAAAGGGACACATGTTCTGAAGTCCACGCCAAGTTCCCTTTTCTGTGGCAATTTAAGTTGAAGCAACAGTGGCACAACTTTCCTGAGAACCACTGTAAGGAACTTGAATTGAAGTTCAGAGTTCCTAAGTCCGACGGTGTACAGCTAACTGCGGTCGATCTATCGAACAGCGGAGAAAATTTCAGTATCATTGAGAACTGGTATGCAAATTTTGACACAATGGCAATGGTCAATGAGAACCAACGACTTGAGATAAGACGTTTGTCGACCGAGTCAAGTGCCGTAATGAAAAGCAAGTTCAGTACCGATTTTGAGTGGTTCTTCAGAGACGAAAAAAGTCGGTGGATACCTTACAGGCAACCTGCTGGTAGATCAAAAGGGAAGAACACATTAGGTCTTCTTAAGTTTAACGCGGTGACGTCATCAGACGACATCGAAAAACAATTCTCGGTTAACGGCCTAAAAATCTGGAAAACTCGTAATGGCTCACACACGTACGACTTTGATTTTGTAAAAATGAGGCAATCGGACTTAGGAAATCCTAGTATATTCCAGTTCACGAAGAGGCCTCTTGAGACCTGGCCAATGAGACGTCGTCCGAAAGCTGGGAAACTAAATCCCGGTTCAGGCCCCGCTGAAGACTACACTTCGCAACCAGTCCCAGGAAATTCCGTTACCAGGAGCTTCAAGTGGCAGTTCATGGATGAACAGAAAAACTGGATCGATTTTGACCAAGCCAGTTCAGTCAGCCGTAATTGGACAGTATCTAGTAAGCCTGTGGACATTGAAAATGAGTTCGCTAAAAATCCAAACTCCGTAATTGAAATCCAAATTAACTCGAATCGCTACAGCCTCGATTTTAAGGCGATGAAGCAAACAAACTTGCGAACCCGAAATACCAGGGATGTACGGAGGGTTTTGGAGGAGCCTGCGCCCAGCGTCGGTTCGGTGAAGAAGATACCCAGCGTCGAATACGAATGGTTTTTCCGCGATAAAAACAACCAATGGAAAAAGTATGGCCAAATCAGTTCTGAACATGATGCAAAATATGCTACTTCCCAAGGATCTGACGACATCGAAAAACATTTCCAAACCCAGCCTGAGCAGGTGATGATCGTACAAAGCAACTTACATACCTACGAGTTGAACCTGTCGACCATGACACAAACCAACGTGAAAACGCAAGGAAAGCGAGCCATGAGTCGAAGAACCAAGAATTGTGTTAGTAACATCGGGAGTGATGTAGTGTCAACGCAATACGTGTACAAATGGTACTTCAAAGAGAACTACTTCTACTATAGTTCATGGGTAAAATTCGACGAAAAAGACATCTATACCATCGAAGAACATTACCTGTCCAAACCCACAACCAACATCAACTTCATAGCCGGAAACCAGTCGTACGTTTTAGATTTCACCGCCATGACACAAACCAACACCGCGACTGGCAGTGTGAGAGAGGTGTGTAGGCGGCATCAGCTCGTATCCATGACAAGTTACGGCTCTGGTTCACCTTCTTCCTACGCATCAAACAAGATTTTCACTGAATTTCCCTCTGAAAAAACTTCTTTTGGAACCCCTCTTGAGGTAAACCAAACGGAGTACATGACAATTCTAGCACTGCTCAGGTCCACCTCACTAGATTGTAAGCCCAGCAACATCTTTGAAGTCAACAACCCGTACCTAAAAGCAGCCTTTGAAATCAAGAAGGCTCAACTACAGAAACTAAACCCGAGTATATCTTACGAGGAAAAATGTCTTTTTCACGGGACAAGCACTTCTAACATCAAGGCCATTCGGGAAGAAAACCTCGACTGGAGACTGCATGGATCAAATAAAGGACAAGCATTGGGCAGAGGAACTTATTTCTCCAGTAGGTATGTGAACTTAATTAATGGATCCTGATGGTTGATTGAGTCCTCAAATGTACAAATCAATTTTAATCATAATTCTCATAATTATGTTTATTATAGATTTCACATTTCAAGAGCCCAACTGGGCTTTGCCCGTTGGTATGAAGGCATCACTTCTCGAATATTGAGTTCGCCCTGACGAAAGTCTGAGCGAAAAAATTTCTCACGGCCCATTAAAAACTGAGTAAAAATAGGGATAAATCAAACATGAAGTCTAAGTAAATATACTTAAATATACTTGGCGAACTCTTAATGAAGTCTGAGTGAAAATACTTGTTGCGACCTGCCTGAAAATTGAGCAAAATACTAGCTGAGCCCGGAATGAAAATTGAAAATACTTGGAGCGACCTGACTGTAAACTAAGTGAAAATACTTCGTACACACTGATTAAAGACAGAGAAAATACTTGGCACGCCCTGGCTGATGGCAAAATTAAAATACTTAAGTACCGATGCGCTTCCACTGTCTCCTGTAGAAGGCAGAGTCTCCGTTGCAATGTTCGTTGAGTTTTCAAGGTCCATGTTGAGTTTTCAAGGTCCGGAAACTGCACAATTAACTCTGCAATTAGTTTGTACTTAAAAACCGGACACGAAAATAAATGAACTACATTACCGGACACCAAAAAAAACGCCAACCTCGTTAGGTTAGAGTTAGAGTTAGGGTTATGTGTGTCTAAAACCCTTCTTTAGGTTGCTAGAAACCGTTTTACTGAGGTTAGGTCCAACCAGGTCAAGTTTTTTTATATATTTTTTGCAATTTAGCAAAAAAAAATAATTAAATTCTGGTAAAGTGGAATAATGACTTTGAGTCCCTGGGACCGTGTTGAGTAGTCCCTGACTACTGGGCACGTAATGTACCCCTGACTACTGGGCACGTAATGTACCCCTGACTACTGGGCACGTAATGTACCCCTGACTACTGGGCACGTAATGTACCCCTGACTACTGGGCACATAATGTACCCCTGACTACTGGGCACATAATGTACCCCTGACTACTGGGCACGTAATGCACCTCTGACTACTGGGTACGTAATGTACCCCTGACTACAGGGCACATAATGTACCCCTGACTACTGGGCACGTAATGCACCTCTGACTACTGGGTACGTAATGTACCCCTGACTACCGGGCACGTAATGTACCCCTGACTACTGGGCACGTAATGTACCCATGACTACTGGGCACGTAATGCGCCCCTGACTACTGGGTGCGTAATGTAGCCCTGACTACTGGGTACGTAATGTACCCCTGGCTACTGAGCACGTAATGTACCTCTAACTACTGGGTACGTAGTGTACCTCTGACAACTGGGTTCGTTAATGTACCCCTGGCTACTGAGCACGTAATATACCTCTAACTACTGGGTACGTAATGTACCCCTGACAACTGGGTACGTAATGTACCCCTGGCTACTAAGTACTTGTCTGCTCATTACTACTGGGCATGAGTTACCTCCAGAAACTCTTACTTTGGTTACCTCCAGAAACTTCCCACCTTGGCCACACCCCCTCCCCAATTACAAATATCAACCGAACACGGCATCTCATGTTCTTAGTTTCTGCGGTTGACTTCTTTTCCATGCTCAGACAAATTTCTTTCATGTCTTTATACATTGCATGCGTGTGAAATTGTCAAAAAATCTCTTCCTTCAACTTGCATCAGCTTTTTTTCTTGACCAGATGTGTCACTTTAACAGAAAAATTTTCGCTCGTTTTCAACTTGTGTTCATCTCAACAGCGCGAAATTGTCTCGGAAATACGGTGATGTCATCTTCGTCTGCAAGGTTCTGGTGGGGCGTACTGCACTCGGCAACTCCGGCACCGTCAAACCTGCGAAAGACAAGTACGCCTGCATGGCCGGTCCCAGATTCTTTATATTTTAGGTTTGTTGTATGACTGAATTATAAATAGAGTGCAAAATGATGATTAATGGTATGCCGGCAATAGAATGCCGGTCCTTACAGAAACGCGAATAGGAGCTCGGCAACAAAATTAGTCCTGAATAAAATAATTTTTATTAATTCAGATTTGAGAAAGTATAGGAGCTAACAAAGAACGTAATGAATCCACTGCAGAGACAAAAATGTAGCAAGCGTTACGAAGTGAAATTCATATATTTTCTGAGCCTAATATACTCATCATTCAAACTAAACGAATTGCCAACTTGAATCAAATTTGCGGATACAACCGTTAGTTTTTTTCTGATACAAACGTTTGCTTTTGCAGTTGCAACCTTTTGCTTTTTTCAGATACAAGTTTTTGCTATTTGTAGATGCAACCGTTAGCTTCATGCAAATACAAACGTTTGCTATTTGCAGATAAAATCGTTTGCTTTTTACAGATCCAACCGTTTGCTATTTGCAGATAAAATTGTTTGCTTTTTATAGATCCAACCGATTGCTTTTTACAGATACAACCTCCCTGTTGACACGACGGTTGATCGGATAGAGAACCCGAATATATTTGTCAAGTACGATTCTCAGGAGTACTACCCTGAGTACTACGCGCTGTGTTGAGGAACCAAACCACGCCCTTTTGACACCACGGTTGATCGGATAGAGAACCCGAATATATTTGTCAAGTACGATTCTCAGGAGTACTACCCTGAGTACTACGCGCTGTGCTGAGGAACCAAACCCTACCTGAAGACTGCATGGCTTATGAAGAGGTTAGTGAGAGGGTCTATGGTATGGCCGGTGGTCGGGTCTTGTGGCGGGGTCTGTAGTGGGGCTTAGGGTGTGATCGGTGGTGAGGTCTAAGGTGAGGCTTGTAATGATGGTTATGGGGAGGTCTGTTGTAGGGTATGATGTGGGACCCATGTGGTCTATATTAGGGCAGGATGTGTGGCCCGTGGGGCTTATATTAGGGCACGATGTGTGGCCCATGGGGTCTATATTAGGGCACGATGTGTGACCCATGGGGCCTATATTAGAGCACAATGTGTGGCCCATGGGGCCTATATTAGGGCGTGATGTGGGACCCATGGGGTCTATATTAGGGCACGATGTGTGGCCCATGGGGCCTATATTAGGGCACGATGTGTGACCCATGGGGCCTATATTAGAGCACAATGTGTGGCCCATGGGGCCTATATTAGGGCGTGTGGGGTCTATATTAGGGCACGATGTGTGGCCCATGTGGTCTATATTAGGGCACGATGTGCGGCCCATGGAGTCTATATTAGGGCACGATGTGCGGCCCATGGGGTCTATATTAGGGCAGGGTATGGGGCCCATGTGGCCTATATTAGGAGCCTGATGTGTGGGCCTCATGTGCGGCCCATGGCATCATGGGCATGATGTGTGGCCCGTGATGAGTTCTGTGGCCGGAACCAATGACGGGATCTGTTGTGGGACCGATTGCGGCGCCTATATGTGAATGGTGTAATATATTGTAATATAATAATAGTGTAATATAAACGTGTGGGCCACTGACTAATAGATATATATGTTGTAATCTCTGTTAGAGCTTCTGTCTGGCTCGCTGATACATATTCATTTAAGGCAGTTTGTTCCTTCCGAAATCTAGTTGTAGATCTCGTCTCAACTCCCGAATAGGAGTCGGTCACACCTTAGTTTTGATTCGACATAATAAATTTTCTTCCGTTAGATTGATCAATTTAGTAATATATGTTTATTCAAGTACTAGTCATAGTATACGATGTTTTGAAAATACTAGTTATGTTACACTATCATTCGAACTATTAACGGAATTTATGAGGAATTCAGCTAATGAGAATCCTCATCCGGTGAGCAGCTGATAGCTCTGATAACTACAGATTAAGGCCCTGATAACTCTGCATACTGCTGATAAGGTCCTTATCATCACCAAGTCAAAGCTCCATGACATATACAATTTGCAAGTTTCTATCATTGATATTTGAAATCTTAAATCTTAACATCCAATATTTTGATCGAAGCTCAGTTAGAAGTCCTGCGTCCGGTGATGGCACCTACAGGTGCGTGAAGTTGTTCAAAAAATAGCACCTGTGAAGTTTTTAACGTATCTTTTATTTTGATCAAGATAAATGTAAATCATTATAGTCATTATAGTCTTAGAGGGCAACATTATTGAGGTGTGAACGTAACTCGCCATGCCATGTGAATTTGACATTCTGTGATTGTAAAAACTTGTTTGACTTTATCAGTGTCTATACCACGTGCCGCTCACAAGATTGAATCCGCACATTTCAGTCTTACGCTGTGTATTTTTCTGCACTGCATCTATAAATATCCAGTGCGAATACTAATTCATTGTTTTTATTTCTAAAGTGATTTTTACCCACACTGAGTCTGCCTTACTGCTGCCTCCATACCTACACTGAATCTATATATGCAGGGCGCTTGTCACATCTATGCGGCTCTGGCGAGCCAGTATCTCTGCACATCTCAAATCTCAATGTTGAGATTTTGACCTCCATTTCACCTCTAAAAATATACGGGCAAAATTCTTGGAATACCCTAAATGTTCCCTAGTAATCCAGGGTTTGCTGCAGGATTGGTGGCGGTTGCTGGAGGATGCATTTCGATCGCTGCAGGATGGGTGTCGATCGCTGCAGGATTGGTGGCCTTCACAGTAGCTCGGATGGAGGCCGATGCAAGATTTATGCTGGTCGTTGCTGGATTGATGGTGGTAGTAGCAAGACTGATGACGGTCGGAGCTAATTTGATGGTGAATAAAGATGGATTAATTATAATTGCAGACAGCATCGTTGCTATCTGTGTAGGATTGGTTACGATTGCTGGAGGATGGTTGGCGACAGATGGAGGATGGGTTGCGATGTCTGGAGGGTGGGTGATGATCGCTGGAGTAATGATGATGATGCCGATGGATAGAAGATGGGTGTGGATTGCTGGAGGATGGCTGATGATCGCCGGAGAATAGTTGATGATCCCGGGAGGATGGTTGATGTTCCATGTAGGATGGATGTTGATTGCTGCAGGATGTGTCGCAGGATTTGTCGCAGGATGTCTCGCAGAAGGATTGCTGTCGATCGCTTTGGGGTTTGTGGCGCTCATTTTTGCAGTGATGGCGGCCGATGCAAGATTGATGATCTTGGATGCATGGTTGATGGTTTTCGCTGCAAGTGTAAAGCCGAATGAGGAAAGATTGTTGAGATATGATGCAAAATCGATAGTAGTGGGAGCGACAGCCTATGCAATCTGTGCCGGATTGATGGCTTTCACCGAAGGATTGGCAAATATCACGGGCCAGTTCGTGATAATTACTAATATTTCGTTGACAATCCTGGCGGGATTGATGTCGATCATTGCAGGATTGATGTCTATCAAACAAGGATTGACGTCAATGAATAAAACACTGATGATGGTTGCTATAAAGCTGAGAGTAATTGCTAGAAGATTTGAGTCTGTTTCTGAAAAATTACGAGAAGACAGTCTCGCAGTAACTCTTTCAGGCCACAAGGCGACAATGATGGAGATTGCTGCGGCACTCGCGGAGATTGTTCCCGTAGTGAAGATTGTAGCTGATAGATTGGAAGCGATTGCTGCAGTGTTGAAGGTAATGACGTCTTGAATGTTATATGAAATTGTTTAGGCGTATTTCCGTATTTCAATTATTTTACAGTCATCATAAAAATTAGCAATTTAAAGAAATCGAGGTTGACAACTTGACACCTGCCACTGACAGGGTCAATAATGATATTTACTGAAGTTTCTGCTGCAAATCGTTTTTTAAGACCAATCCGTAAAAAATTATTAGATTCATCTTAGTTGCTATTACCGATTTATTTCCAGTATAATACATCAGTTCATTTACTTGATTAAAGAAAGCCATACCGTATAATAAAAATTTTTGAAATCTATTAATTAGAATGAAAATATTTATATTATAACTTGTTAATAACTTCTAATCTAACGACCATTTCCTGCCTTATTCTCAATCATAATTGACGTCAATGAATGAAACACTTATGACGTTGGCTGCAAAGTTGAGAGTGATTGCTAGAAGATTTTATTCTGTTTCTGAAAAATTACGAGAAGACAGTCTCGCAGTAACCCTTTCAGGCCACGAGGCGACAATGATGGAGATTGCTGCGGCACTCACGCAGATTATTTTTGTAGTGAAGATTGTAACTGACAGATTGGAAGCGATTGCTGCACGGTTGAAGGCAATAAAGTCCTGAATGTTATATGAAATTGTTTACGCTTATTTACTTAACATCAATTACTCTACAGCCATGATAAATATTAGTAATTTAATGCATTTGAGGTTGACACACGACAGGCTGACGGGGTCGGTGATATTTGTTGAAGTTTCTGCTCTGAATCGTTTTCTAAGACAAATCCGTAGAAAATTGTTGAATTCATCTAAGTTGCTATTACTAATTTATTTTCAGCGAAATTGCATAGGTCCATATAAAAGAACATATAAAGCCATATCGTATAATAAAAATTTGGGAATAATAACGAAACTATTTATATTATAACTTGTTAATAGCTCCTAATCTAACGACCATTTCCTGCCTTATTCCGAATCATTGTTCAATAAGCAAAATATTTGACTTAAAGATGCACATGTGCTTAACAACTTGTAATGCATTAGCCTGATTAGGCTTTAGGACGCTTGATATTTTTTAATTTTCAATAATTTTGGTTTGACCTCGACCCTCATTCATTATCGTCTTGGGTAACATTATCGTGAAGGAGCGTTTCTATAGATCTCTTTGATATTAAAGTGTTACCCGTTATGGCACTGCATGCGTTTATAATATTATTATCGTGTGTCAATTCGTTGTAATAATTATTTTAATTCATTACTTCAGAAAGTTATTTTGTAAAATCTCAAAGAAACCTTAATCCAATTTAAATGAGCTATATAGTTTAATCTAAACCTACATGGTTAGGCAGGGCAGACTTGCTGAATTTTTATAAATTAAGCTTCAATTTTCACAAGTAAATTTTTTTCATATTGTCTAGTCCATTTAAATCCTACGACTAAAATATATTTCGCTTCTCTTCCCATCGTATTTTGCAAACCGGTGTAAAATGACGCTATCACTATCAGTTCAGTCGCTGAAAACCTGAAATATGTCACTCTGGCACCAAATATTTTAAATCTACTTGTAAAGTAAAATTTTCGAAGGGAATTTGTAATAAACACAAAATATATGGGATTATTCTCCGAATGATTGCTAACATTCACCGCTCCTGGTATTGCCAATCTAGTGATTTTTCGATAAATTTCGAGAAATTCGAAGACTTAATTATTAATTATATCACTATAATTACTAAATTAGCAGCGGGATTGAAGATTAACGCGAATTAGTAACTTAGTTACAGTGAGGGAGGTTTACTTCCAGGAAAGTAATCAAAACTTTTATTAAAAGAAATATGATATTAGTGTAGGATTTATTGTCTAGAATATTTTTATACAATAAAACAATCGCGTATCGAGTCAAGATAAGAAATATAATCCATATTAATTATTCGCAGCTACACGTCAGCATTCGTCAATATAATTAAAATATCCAACAAATAACTAACGGGTTTACACACTAAG